GAGTTGGTATTCAGTCGACGCTGACCAGAGCCGGGCCGGGTCGCTTTGCCCTGGAGCCTAGCAGATGGGGGGCTTATGGGGTGGGTCGTGCCACTTTGTGACCTAGCAGTTGAGGGTGTGAGGCCTGGTAAGTATCGGGACATAGGGGGCAGGCAGGTAGGGTTGGGCTGCTGAAAGCACTAAGGCAGGTGTTTTGTTTTCGGTCTGAACGTTCTTATGATCTAAGGCTGGTTGTCAATGGTGGTCTTACGAATGATTTGTGATTTTGGGGACTCCTAGCAACTCATTTTAGGAGGCTCCATCGCAGTTATACTCAGTGATTTGTGGTTGTCCGATGCCAGAACGACGCTGGCCGGTACTGTGGTCACGGTGTTGCCCTTTAACCTGCTGATGCAGGAGTATGAGGCCTGGTAGAGAGGTCTGGGAATGCTTTGGGATGGGCATTCCAAGAGACAACTAAGGGTTGCTGCCGGGACGACGCTGGTCGGAGCTGGGGCGAGTCGTGTTGCCTTGTAACCCAACAGGGTGGGGGTGTGAGGCCTGGAAGAGCTCGGCAGGGAGTAAGACAGTGTTGGAGAGTCTTAGAAGGCTTTGCTAGCGATTCCGAGGGTTTTGAGCATTTGTAGGACCTTTGTGGTGGCGATTTTTGTTTCTAAAAAGTTCAGAATTTTCTTAGCCAAAGTCGGGTAATGACCCCCGTATCTTAAAAAAAAAGGTTCCTATAATCCCTTCGTGGAGCTTAGAAGGAAACTTCTCATATTTTCTCAGATTTTTTCATACTTTTTTTGAATTTTAGCCGATCTTGTGGGGTTCTTCATTGAATAGGCTAGTAACTGCTCATGATCCTATTTTTCATACAAAGTCGGGTAAAAGCCCCAGTATCTCAAAGTATTTCTGCATATGGTCTCAAACTTGTTTCATGTTTCAAATGGGATGCTGGGCCCAGTTCCCAGCACGTGCGGCTCCCCAGGAATAGATTAGAGCATTGTCCCAAAAAAAAAAAAAAAAAAAAAAAATTGTGGACAGATTGTGGGCCTGTCTGTGTGCGCTTCCTCGTTCGTATGCACTGCTTTGTGGGTGTGTCTGGGTACCATAGTAGTTTCTCAGCCTCATAGTACACTCGCGAGAGTCCATACTTCCATTGTATGATCCTGGTCCCGGTCTGGCTCTGCTCTCTACACCCCCCTTGAGAAGTGCTATGTGACGTACCAACTTTTGTACCTGAACGAACTTCTGATGCCCTAAACTTTGCTATTCGTGTTTTTTCGATCTCTAACGGGTACCCTTCTTTTTGGTTGGTGGATGATGCATGGAATCAATGGCTGCCGAGGACCTCCCACTTTTAAGTCTTGTTGTTTTTCTCGGACTTTTTTGCAATTTCTCTCCGACGATTCATGAATTTACGTAGGACTTATGCGCGCCTTAGTGAGCGCGCCACAAATTTTGTTTGACAAATGGGAATTCCGGAATTTGCAGCCCCACTTACCGCTAACGTGTCCTTTCTTGCTAGTGAATGTTCTAAAACTCACCCTTGAATAGGTGTAGGATTTTTCCCGTGTCCAATCTCGCGAGCAGATGTTGTTTTTGAATTTCTGAATCTTGAATTAGTTTAGAGCTAGAATGGCCGGAATATAACTGTTTTGGTGCCTTTTTGTCTTTGTGCCAGCGCCATCTATGCAAACTTCCCCCTCTTCCCGCTATGCCACATGCCATCTTCACCTCTCTCTTCTTCGCGCCTTCTTTCCTCCACCCGTAACTATTTTCCATCTCCTCTCCCTTCGCACTTCACTCCCTCTCCTTTGGGTCTGAATCTTGGTCCCGTTCCGCACTACTCTTCACGCCTTCCTTCTTCCCGCCTTCATCCCCATACAGGAACTCCCTACCAATTCCCCCAGAGTCTTCGAGCCGTCAAACGGCATTGTGTAAGGAGGATACTCGCCTCACGCTGTGATCCGATTGGCTGTGAAGGAACTGGCGAGGATTGATATGGCTTTCCCTGGGCGATTAACCCAAACTCTCTCTTCACCCCCTCCTACCTCGGCCCTATTCCCTCCCATCTTCTATCTCCCTCTTGGCAACTGTAAAATCCGCAAGTGCATCCGAAAAACGCTCTCTCAACCCATCTGTCAACTTCAGGGAAGTCGTGGTTAAATGATGTGCGTGTACAACGAGTCAAAAGGTCCTGACGGCCTGACTGTAGTTTTGCAAGGTTGTGCGCCTAGTGGCCGCGATAGACTGTGGGATCTGGGCATGTTGGTGTAGAAATTGAAGTTGAGTTGGTGGGGTGACGATTGTTGTGGTGTAAATTGGTATGTGGCTCCGGGATCGCCAGTACCTTGGTAAGGAAGGTGTGTGTGTATGAATGGTCTTATGGCCTGAGGACATCGTCAGAGAGCAGAAGGCTTGGACACCTTGATCTTCGGTTCCACCTCTTATTTTGGAAGCCAAGTTCACGATAGATTGCCATTTTCTTTTCTCTCTCAGATCTATTTGCCTGCTCACAACTCCTTTTTCCTTAGTCCCCTTTTTCAGTCAAGCTACGGCTCCATCCGCATCTTTCGACCTTACCTCTCTCTCTCTCCTTCTCTCTCTTTTCTTCATGAAATCTCTGAATGTTCTGATGACTCCCTCGTCCCTGCCAGCTCCTGAGGTCCTATCCCGCTTGTCTCGTTGAATTCAATCAGATTTCTCGAGGACAAGTATTGTTGAATTTGAGAGACCAGCAAGCTCGGTTTATCTTGCCCCGTCCCTCCCCTTGCTCCATAGTATCTGATGGTTTATGCATGAATGATCTCTTACATGTATGCATCAATTGAGTTGTTGCTCTGATGAGGGGAACAAATTAGGATTATGATATGATCATTTCGATGCATGCTTAACTACTCACGTGAATGAATGATATGATTGTCTTCTTGATTGGATCAGATTGCATAGACTCACACCTCGGATCGATTTCCACAGTGGATGAAAGATAATGAAAACGTTTTCCATTGGAAGGGGTCCCCAGACCAAGGGCGCCAACCATTTCCCTTGGCGTGTGTGCATGAGGCAAGTCCAGTGATTTGCATCTTTTTCTATTTTTTATTGTTAGGGGTAACAAGGGCGCAGTCATGATTTCAGTTTTAAATCCAGTTCAGGCATCCCTCGAATACAGCACATCCCCACCAAACCCTAAAGCTGGGTTGTATACCTTCACGATTTTCTTTTGTTTGCCGCGACATTGGTGAAATCGTGACTGAAACGCATTTCAAACTGAAACCGTGACAGCCCCCTCGTTTTCACTTATTTTTATTTTCATTTTTTTTGGTTGGACGACACTCAAAGCTCGGACGAAGTGTCTGCAGAAGCACTGAATAAGCCAAAAAAAAAAAAAAAAGAAGGAAAAAAAGGATGTGAACCATGTGTCAAAGCCTACACATAGACTGGAGCTTTGAGTCCCCTCCAGCCAAAACAATAAAAATAAAAATACAAAACAAAAAAGGACGTGCATCACTCGACTTGCCTTGTGCACACACACCGAGGGGTCGTAAGTTGAAACCGTTGATCTTTTCAGCCACTCCCAACGTTGAGGCTGAGTCTCAAACAGATGGAGGGAAGCCCTCGTATCAATTCCATCCATAAATACCAGGCACGAGGAGAGAAGGGGGGAGAGGGGGATGCTTATGGGGCTTGAGTATGGTTTCCATCTAGTGGCTTCAACGGGCCCCCCTCGCCCAATTCGTGGCAGTGGCGCCCGCCAGGTTGCAGAAAAAGAAAGTCGCAGTTGCCAGGCCCAGGTGACTTCCTTCTTTCCCCGAATACAACGTATGGTCATTATAGCTGCATTTGAGGCATCTTTCAGTCTCCATACAGCTATAATGACTGTACGTTGTATTTGGGGGAAGAAGGTAGGAAGGCCGCTCCACAATCTCTTCATAGCTGGAGGGGTGGCAGTAGAGTCGACCCCTTCCTTGCACTTTGCGGTCTTAACCACCTTCAATTCTTGCCTCCCCAAACAGGGGCCAAATGTGGCCGCGATTTCAATTTCAATAATCGCGGTAGGAAGGCCGCTCCAGAATCTCGTCATAGCTGGAGGGGTGGCAGTAGACCCCTTCCTGGCAATTTGTGGACTTACCCCCCTTCAATTCTTGCCTCCCAAACCAGGGCCCAAATGTGGCTGCGATTTCAATAACCACCACCCGGCCAGCTGCTCGCTGCTGCAAACCTGGGGCAGCAGGCGGTGCGCCGCACCTGGTCACTACCGCACAGCAAGCTACCACCTGCCACACTGCACCTCAAGGAACCCGTGTGAGACCCCCGCCCCCGTCCCCCGGTGTGTGACCCCCAACAGCTGTGTGTGAAAGCCATTAATACGTATCTGAAATCAAATGGAAGACCACAACCTCCCCTCCTTGAGCTACTAGAGTATATCGTCCCCCCAACAACCTCTAACACAGCCTTAGATATCACAGGCTCAAAGTTCACCCTTAAAGACCACCCTGGCGACCACCCGGTGCATACAACCCTGCCCAACAGTCAGACATGCATTCCTGCCATGGCAAGCCTCCAAGTTCACTGGCAGAAAGTTCGTCAACGAAGTAGGTGCCAACTTACACCCACAGCATGCACGCACTGAGGCCCTCCCATGCACCGTATTGCTTGCTTGCTTTAAAAATAGATAGATAGACAGGTGTGGTATCCTACAAAGCAACTTAGCAAGGAGATAACCCTTGGACAATACTTAAGAGTATCTGGCAAGGGATCATCTGACCTTCAACTTGCTTAAAATGAGAATAAAAAAGGGGGCAGGAAAGGGGGAAAAAGGGGAAAAGAGGGGGGGAAAGAGAGGGGGGAAGGGGGAGGGGGGAGGGGAAAAAGGTGGGGGAAAGAGGGGAAAAATAGTGGGGGGACAAGGGATGATTTGAAAACTCATGGACCTATGATATCTAGCAAGGGACTATCTGAGAACTCGTGCAAATGGATCCACGATTCCGCATTCATATAATTGTGTAGTACTGTGTACCATTATATGGCCATGGACGGAGATCTCCAATTCCGTCCAGTTTACAGTGCTGGTATTCCAATCGCTGGGAATCAACCAGAATTCTACAGTTTCGCCTCCTTTCACAAAAAATCCACCTTCCATCTTGTGGGGGCCAGAATCACTCTGCTGCATTTACACTCCATGCGCTCAGAAACTGCCGATAGTAATTCAAAATACAAGGGAAGAACTATGACACACTGATCAATGTACACAAACCGCACTTTGCACAAGCACTGCCATCGAAAAAACTAAACCTAAACAATTCTCTCTCTCTCTCTCTCTCTCTCTCTCTCTCTCTCTCTCTCTCTCTCTCTCTCTCTCTCTCTCTCTCTCTCACACACACACACACACAAAAAAAGAAAAAAAAGAAAAAAAAAAGACATTCCCAGTCCATGCATGGTGATTCTAGCCACTAGTCTATCAAGGGAAGTTGCAAGGACATGCCCCTGGCCTCGTCATCGTTATCTGCTTTCTCAGTTTCCGCCTGGGCGAGAATGGCCTCTGCCCTCCTCCTCTTCTCATCGCCATCTGCACCTTGGATTCCAGTCCCGCGCCCTTTTTCTTTCTCCCTCTCTTTCTCTTTCCTCTCCTCCTTGTCTTTTCCCCCCGATTTCTTTGCCTCCATTGCTGTCGATGTTCTCAACGGAGTTCTTTTCTTTCTGTGCAGATCACTTCTGAAGTCGAAGGACAGGAGCACCGGCGTCCTATCTCTAACAAGCGGCAGAAACCCGTCACTTCCAGTTCCTTGTGCAGAACCACCCGCACCTTCTCGTCCTCGATCCTCCTTCCCAGCCCCCCCCTTGTCTTCCGTCGCGAACCCCTTTCCTTCTCTCATTTCACAACCAATGCCATCGATTTCCATCCTCATACAGTCATCCTTCTTGGTCGCAGTTCGGAGTAAGGATGAAAATGCCTCCAGTGCCGACGTCGGTGCAGGTGGCGGCTTTCCGAGAGGAGCCGCGGCAGGGCCATCGGGATCTGGAGGAAATCTGGATCTAAGCGGCGGCAAGGGAGGAGACCTCTCCCTCTCTCCTGCAGCACGAGGGGGGGCGAGGAATGGATTCGCAGATGGCGCTGAAGGAGGGGGGGCTAGCAAAGAGCTCTTTCTGCTCCCTGCTCCTAGCATATCCATCAGAACAGACGCCTGCTCTTCCGCTAATTGCGGGTCTTGACAGCCAGGCAAGTCCACACCGAGACCCGCTGCTGCTGCTCCTGCTCCTGCTCCTGCTCCTGCTGCTGATGAAGATCCCCCTCCCTTCTGCGCATCTAGACGTCTATGCAGCGAGATCAGTGCTCGTTCTGCTCTCCTCTTCTCCTTCCCTAGCTCTATCTTTGTCGCCCGAGGGTCAGTTACAAGCTCATCATAGACAGGCGTTGACATGTACGTGTGCCTCTCAGGAAACACAGGCATCCAATCACTCACATCGTCACTAGGAGGCTTCTGGCCTTTGTCCGAGAAGGTAGGTGCAAAGTTCCTTCTCTTCTTCTTGACTGGAAACCGTGGTAGGGACCGGGGAAACGGCACCTCATCTGCCCACTCCACGTATCGCATGACATCTGGAACAGATGCGCCTACGTCCGAAAACGCCAAAAGCACATCATTGAGATTACATTCTATCCTGCCTGCAAGCTCCGCATACGACTTGGAACCAATACCTATTTCTCTCAAATACCGAACAAGCATATCTACAAGGGCGTCGGCTGCAGACCGCTGAATTCCTGTAAAACCATGTGTCTGACATATCTGGGCAATCGCCACTTTCGCAATCCCCCGCGCAAACGCGTCAGCCATTGTTTCCTCAAAAGGAAAACACTACTTAAAGCAGCATACTCAAAGTCGAAGTTTCCTGGAACTATCCGCTTGTCACCAAGGCCGGCCGGCTACACTACTTAAAGTCCGCTGCCCCTTACAGACACAAGACGCTCTCCGTGTTCTTCTCCGCTTGCTGCAGGAAAGAAAACAAGCCCCCCCGACAGAGGCAGACGGGGGGGGGGGTTGAGGGGTTGAGAGGGGGGGGGGGGGGGGGGGGGGTAAGGGGGTAAGGGAGCAATTCCTCCCCAGCGCAGAAACCCCTGTTCTATTTTGTCAATTACAAGCCTGGTTTTACCTCGATTGGATATTTAGGGGTAACCCAATCAATCATAGTAGCGGTAAAGAAACCTCCCCCCCTTACAGGAAAAAAGGGAGCCAATGATGCTTACTTTCTCATTCTCCGTATTCGCCCCATCCACCTGCCCTTTTTCTCTCCCTTTTTTCTTTTTTTTCTTTTATCCTCCCTTATCAAATCTGGAATCTGGATAAGCGAGGAGAAAAAGGGAAAAAAAAAGAAAAAGGATAAGCTTTATCTCGTCTGGATAAGGTAACACTCTGCATTGCCGCATGTCTTCCTGCACATATATCCGAATGAGATTTCACAGGACCGCTTCAGCGGCAATGCAGAGTCCAGGTTCAATATACGCTAGTAGCGTAGAAAACGGAAAGGTCCGAATGTTGAACTTCTGTGAAAAGGTTGTAGTACTTATACTGCTGCAACAGGTCCAGGTTCAATGTACGCTAGTAGCGTAGAAAACTTAACGGTCCGGATGTGACCGTCCGATTGTGTGGATTGAACTTCTGTGACAAGGTTGTCGTAGTCATACTGCTGCAACAGGTCCAGGTTCAATGTACGCTACTTCCTCCACGTGATAACCTGGTCCAGATCTCGGGATGTCTGATTGTCCATATAAATCTCAGAGGTGATTTTGCAGCTCGCTCACTGGAACCTGCAGAAAAGAGAGCACAGGGTCAGACAATTTGTCAGATAGTGCTTTTTATTTTACTACAATGTGCACGCCCTCGATGTCAAATAATCCACCCCACCCAGCCCATGAATTGATTTTTGCCAATATGAAGTGAATGTGATTGCTATAAAAAAGAAAACGAAAAAGATTAAAAAAACAACCCCACGTGGCTGAATGGTGAACACATGTTATTATTAGTACACTACCTCTTCCGGCTCGGCCTACAAAAACAAAAAGAAAATTTGGCAAATGAGAGCAGAGAGCATGATGGAGTGGAAGGGCGGGTGCAGTCAGATAGCAACTGACCTGTTCTGTCAGGTATATTGTATGCAAGAAAAGCCAGTGCGGCTACACCCGCACACACGCATGGAAAAATTAACGAGATATTCGGGGTCTACATAAGTATTCTCTCTCTCTCTCTCTCTCTCTCTCTCTCTCTCTCTCTCCT